TCTTAACTCTCTCGTACTTATTTTTCCTATAGCAGCAATATTTCTACATCTTGCATTACATAGTTCTTGCCTTCTTTTTTAAGTTCTTCATATTACTTTCATGCTACAATCATTCGATAATCAGCTTAGCATTCTGGCAATGCAAAGACTCCACTGGTGGAGCAATCAATCTCTCTCTACGATTCGTTCATTCGTTTCGATGGTAAATTGGTACTAGCGCATCCTAAGAAGTTCAAAGCTGCCATCAGCTTGTTTCTAAGCAACTGTTAACAGTTAAGAGATGAAATACACCAACTGCATCCAAACGTATCTTCTTGCACATGATACTTTGACTGTTCTCTTTTCTCTTGCTCTATTATTTCAGAAGAATGAGCAAGAAGAATCGCGATAGAAGAAAAAGAAAAAAAGTATGAATCGATGATTGCCAACATTCCATTGGGGAACGATGCGAAAATATCTGTTGCGCTCCTCATTTAATGCTTTGGTATTTTTTTGCCGATGTTTAATAGTGTGATCAATTTTCTCAGTCGTTTTTACGTTACCTATTGTATCTGAGGTATTTTTCCAAAGCGTGAGAGGTGAAATCCCCTTCACACGAACATGTCAAATACTCAGTTTTATCGCAAACTCAAAAGCGAGTGCATTTTGCACATTTCGCAATCCACTTCCGACATCGCAATCCACTCTTCGCTCCGCCCCCCTTTTACATGACAAAATTTATCTGGGCGGGGCGATTGCTGGCAGCCGGAGGCCCCGCCCAGTCCTATTGATACCAGCCTCGACTTTCATTCGCGCTCTGAATGCGAGATTGCTGCAGAGGATCACTTATTCTCCTATTTCGACCAAGAATTAGGGACCGGCAACCCGCCAGAGGTTTGTAACTGCTGGGTTAATCTTCCCGATAATAGTTATACAGAAGAAAAGTAGAATATCCTGGAAATGTGGCGAATTTTCGAGTACGAAACCTGACTTTATGTCTCAAAATTTGTTTTTCCTGCATTTTCGCTGCACGATGGGGCGAATTTTTCACAGCAAATACATAGGAAATCATGAAAAAAAAAGAAATATACTGTAGAAAGTTACATTGCAATTCCTTGCGTTCCTTGCGATGCGCAGCTTGTAAGGCGTCAATTGGTGATTGTTCCTCCTCTTCCACGTCTGACATTCCTTCGGGCACTGCGTGATAAAAGCGAATACTGAAGTTTGCATAATTTCAATAATTTCAAGTATTCTTGGTATCGGAAAATTCCAGCAAGCAGTGCATTCGGTGTAAACTTTTATCCTCAAAAGTTAAAGGGTAAATGTTCTCGAAAACACACAAAGGAGGGAGGCAGAGCAAAGAAAAGCACGGCAAAAATTGCCCAAAAATCAAGGTCCCTAAGAAAATAGTACTTTTCCCATAAGAAAATAATGCTTAAGAAAATAATTAAGAAAACTTAAGCATCTCGAGTACTCGGATACTTGATGAAAATACTTAAGAAACTTAAGAAATACTTGATGAAACACTTAAGAAAGTTAAGAAATACTTGATAAACTTAAGAAACCTTAAGGAAACTCAAGAAAATATTTAAGGAATTTAAGAAAGAATTTTAGTATTTCGAATGTCTTCTCAAATACTTAAGAGGAAAATAGTAAGAAAATGGCAAATAAAATGTTTTCTTGGAAACAGACTGTCACGACCCCCGAAATCCCCGAACACCGCGGTGTGCGGGGGTCAACAGATGTCACAGAACTCCCAATTAGTAATTAAGTTATGACATAAAATAATGCACTTACAAGCAAATCAGTTGCCCTAGGAATTTTGGTATTCTGTGACATCTAGAGGGAGATTTGGTATTTTTTTGCCAGGAAGCCCTCGATGATAATAGCCCCCCTCCCCGCCCCCGCCTTGCCCCTCCCCCCACAGCATATATGGGTGTATTGCGCGGTATCTGAGGTACCGAAGATTGTGCATCTTTGCCGGGTCACGCCAAAATTACTGGACGGAATCGCACCCAAAAATAATCTGGTCCACTCCTTATGCACCGAAGACCGTTTTCAGACCCGAAAAATTCACTCGCGAAAAACTCAAAAACTCACTCCCCTGCCTTCTACACGGCGAATTCTCATAAATACCGCGGTGCTGGTGAGGAGGACGTGCTGAACTAGGAGGGCCAAGGCCTTTCAGTTGGGGTTTGCAGGGACTAGTCACACATCTCCCGTCTTCTTCACACTGATTTGGGCGAGCACGATTCCCAGGGGGAAGCAATTTTTGCACTTTGCCCGTCTGCCCGCGCATGTTGTAGCAGAGCATCAAATTTCGCGGGACGTTTTGCCCATCGCCACCAAACTTGATCCCCGGGGACGTATGAGGTATCCGCGCATTTCGTACGTCCTCATGTCTGTACCTTCCCTGTAGAACTATGGCGGGGCGTAGGAAGAAAGAAGGGGAGGGCAAGGGAGGAGGGGGAGGGGCACACCCCCATTGTTCACCGTTAGGACATCACCCGATGTTGTAATTAAGTGGGTCAAAAGTCAAAATTCCCTCCGTATGCGACCCCTCAGATGAGGAGCCAGAGCACTTGAAAAGTAGCCGAAGTGATAGCAAATGCCAG